TCAATGGGTGACCCATAGAAACGCAAGTTTTAAGCATTTTTACTAATTTTGTCACATGTTTTGCGCACGGGGTTTTCTATTGAAGTCTATGGGACCAAAAAGCACTGCAATCTACCAAAGAGTAGCTCATGTTCTTTGTGTGTGGAAAGGAGCCGTAGAAATGAATGAGATTTCTTGTCTTGAGCGTTTTGTCATTGCTTTGAGCTACAAAACGCCTAGGTGTGAACGGGGACTTATGGGGACTCAGACAGCATTAACAACCTGACAAGCAGTGGTGTCACAAGGGGGGTGAGGGGTGTAGGGGGTGACACCAATGGAAGGGGGACACCAAAATGACTGACACTCATTTTGGTGTCACCCCCTATGAAAAGTCGGGCACTTGGTCATGGACAGAGAGCCCGACAGTGTCAGGAGAGAGGAGAGGAGCCGGCAGCATACTTCATTCCGCCGGGTGAACATCCCCTCCTCTCTCTGCCAGTGTCCATCAGCAAGATGGCCGCCGGCAGGCGTCAATAAGATGGTCGCGCATGCGCGATGACGTCACGGCGGGGCGTCACCTGGTCTCCGCTCCGGGTGACACCCAGCCTCAGCACGTCCCTGCTGACAGGTATTCTAATCCTTCTCCATTCTATCCAAAACTAAAAAATATGTTTTGACTTTAGTTGCCCTTCAAATAAAAGAAAACGTAAAACAGAATCCCAACAAACAATGAACAATTGTTACAGACAGAAGAAACTAATGTGATGTGTAATCAAAGACAGAGAAAAAAGGGCACAAATAATGTCAGTATAATGACATTATTTTAATGTCTTCATGCTGTGCTCATGCCTGAAAATCTTCTAAAGGTAGAAGTACATTTGCTGTAGGCATGCTAAGGCAGTTTTGTCCTTAAGACAATCTTCCTGTGAACAGTTTTCCAGGAAAGTGAAACATCGGTTGATCTGTCGTTAGTAACAAGAGCGTGGCATTAGACATCTCGTATGACAATGTGTATGTAGGCGAGCTATGCATTGTATGGAGAGGAATGTCATGCAAAGCTAAGCAATGGATTATGACTCTCTTGAAAGTCGACATTTTGCAAATAACTATGAATTGCAGATTAAGGGCTCAGCAAAGGTAAACCATAAATTAGCCGATGCATGAACTGCTCAAAGTATTTAATACCATTGTCAACATCGGGAGTTCAGCAGAACTACAGATGTGGACAAAGTTATCATTGGCGGGGTGATATGTGGAGCTGACGTTGTGTCCATTGCAGGGAACTGTCCTGTCCTGTCCATTGCAGGGAACGACTGTTTATCTTTTCCCCAGACTGACCTGGCTGAAATCCACCGGAGATGATGGCCAATATTGAAGCAGTTTATAGGCAGATGGAATACATACATGTTTCCTGTATTACACAGCCCTGCCGCGCTACACGGCCAGTGAGAGCTCTCTGCTTTTTCCTGGTTTTACTTTACAAACGGAAGGAGAAAAGGAATGAATGAAGGAAAAAAGGAAGAATTGAATGAATGAAGGAAGGAAGGAATTGTGGGAGAACTGATGGTTGGAAGGAAAGAATAAAGAATGGCAAGAAGGAAGGATTGAATGAAAAACGAAAGGAACGGTGGGAAAAATTATGGTAGGAAGGAAGGAATGAAGAATGGAACTAAAGAAGAAAGGAAGACAGAAGGAAGGGTGGGACAAAAGAGAGGAAAAATTGAATTAAGGAAGGAAGAATGGAATGGAAAAAAAAGACAGGAAGGACGAGAGAAAAGATGGAAAGAAGGAATAAAACATTGAATTAAAAAAGGATGGAAAGAAGAATGGAATGAAGGAAGGAAGGGTGGGAGAAAAGATGTGAGGAAGGAATGAAAATGGAATTAAGGAAGGAAGAATGGAAAAAAAAGATGAGAGAAAAGATGGAAAGAAGGAATAAAAATGGAATTATAAAAGGATGGAAGGAAGGAACAATGGAATTAAAGAAGGGAGGAAAGGTGGTAAAAGGGAAGTAAAGTGTGAAGAAAGAAGGGACTGGGAAAATTAGGATGTAAGGATAGAAGAAAGTAAGGAAGAATGAAATGAAAGAAGGAAGAATAGATTGAAAGAAAGTAGGAAGGAAGAAGGGACTGGTAAAATAGGATGTAAGGACAGAGGGAGGTAAGGAAGAATGGAATGAAATAAATGAGTAAGGGTGGGGAAAAAGATGTGAGGAATGAAGAATGGATTAAAGAAGGAAAGAAGGAAGAATATGTTGAAAGCAGGAAGGAAGGGTGAGAGGGAAGAAGGAAAGTGGGAAGGAAGGATGGTAGAAAGTAAGTAAGGAAGGAAGGAACAAAGGAAGAAGGTAATGGTGAAATAAGGAAGTATGGACAAAACTAAGTAAGGATGGGAAGGGAAAGAAGGAAGGATGGGATAAATAAATGGAGGAAGAAGATGGGAGGGAGGAAGGAAGGAAAGAAAAAAAGGATATGAGAAAGAAAGGGAGGAAGGAAATAAGGAAGGAGGCAACCAGTGAAGGATAAGAGAAAGGAAGGACAGGAGAAAGGAAAAGGGGAATGACTAATAAAGGGTTGAAGGATGGGCAGGAGAAAGGGAGGAAGGACTAATGAAGGGTGGAAGGATGGACAGGAGAAAAGAAGACAGGAAGAAACAACAGTTAAGGTGTTATAGGTGTGAGTAGCTGAGCTGTAAAGCCATTGTCTGTGCAGACAGAGAAGGTGGCATTGTGGTGTAAGAGAAGGTCAGAGTCAGTTAGTTCCCAGGTACATGTTCTACAGTTTGTACTCCAGGTTCAGTAGCACTGTCATAAAACAATCAGGTCCATTGTCACTGCTGTCAGTCAGAATCAGAATAGTATAAAAACATTGAGCAACTGTCATTACAGTCATTCATTTTCATTGCCAGGAGGGAGGGCTGTGTATGTATTTTATCTCCAGTTTAAAGCTTATAAAAATATCAATATCTGTAACATTGCCAGCTTTCTCTGCTTTGTCACTTCACATTCACCTCCCTTATGACCCTAATTTATTGTGCAAATTGTAGGAAAAGAAAACGCTTCAAGACTAGCGAGAGCTGTAAAGAGAAAACTAGGGAACTTCCTTCCTTTTTTTCATTCATACTTTCTTTCCTTCATTCTTTCCATGCAGCTTTTCTCCCTCCCTCCTTCCTTTCCTTCATTCTTTACATCCAGTTTTTCTGCCTCCCTCCTTCCTTCTTTCTTGCCTCCATTCTTTCCGTCCAGCTTATATTCCTCCCTCCTTCCTTTCCTTCATTCTTTCCATCCAGGTTTTCTGCCTCCCTCCTTCCTTCTTTCTTTCCTTCATTCTTTCCATCCAGCTTACTGTATATTCCTCCCTCCTTCCTTTTCTTCATTCTTTCCGTCCAGGTTTTGATCCTCACTCCTTCCTTTCCTTCATTATTTCCGTCCAGCTTATCTTCCTCACTTCTTCCTTCTTTCTTTCCTTCATTCTTTCCGTACAGCTTTTCTGCCTCCCTCCTTCCTTCCTTCCTTCCTTTCTTTCCTTCATTCTTTCCGTACAGCTTATATTCCTCCTTCCTTCCTTTCCTTCATTCTTTCCGTCCAGGTTTTCTTCCTCCCTCCTTCCTTCCTTCTTTCTTTCCTTCACTCTTTCCATCCAGCTTTTCTTCCTCCCTCCTTCCTTCTTTCTTTCCTTCTTTTTTCCGTCCAGTTTTTCTTCCTCCCTCCATTCTTCTTTCTTTCCTTCATTCTTTCTGTCCAGCTATTCTTGCTCCTTCTTTCATTCTGTCTTTCCTTTCTTCCTTCTGCACAATTTTGAAAAACACATCGTACCGTCACCCACAAAGCTTTTGAATCTGAACATTGCTTTATTTTACTACACTGTACTCTTACTGTACACTTACACACTTTACTACACTGTACACCGTATGTGCATTGGGATGCAATTAGGAATGAATGGCAAGGCACAGGAATGCACATTCACAGTTCGGTACCATACGTTGGGATATCATGCATTACCCATTGCATTGTGGTGTGAATGAACTTTTATGGCATTTTCATTGCCACAAAGGTGCAAAGAAGCGGGAATTCTTAAAAGGGAATCTCCAGCTATGTTACTTTTTACCAACAGAAAGATGTCGGAGCGAACACATTATAATGTACATATTGTTACCTAGATAAAGCAAAGAATGAGTTATTAGATTATTATATATCAGAGACTTCATGGAATAGCTATTGTCAACCTTGCATACATCTTTGGCTTTCAAACTCTACACATGCCCCACATCATCTTCTCTGTCTGTCAACAAGCGTACAATGTTCTACAACTCTAAATGTCATTGCCATTGATTATTATAGGTCTGTGAGAGTCCACAGACATGTCACTTGTTGACTGTTGTGTCTTTGTGATAATTTGCAGCTATAGAAGCACGAGGAAAATGTGACTGAACATCCATAGTTCATGACAATGTGAGCTCCAGTTACCTGCTCACCCCCAGGCAGAAGGAGACAAAAGCTTAGTTATGCTGGCTTTAGACGGCTAGAATTTCCGCTGATTCTCAATAAATCTTGCGAAATTTGAGCCAATTTAAAAATTCACTAAGCCAGGTGAAATATTATCAGCCGAACAGTGACCATATCCTATCAGATACAGCCATAGTTCGGGCATCAAGCAGCTGGCACTGGATATTCCTCCATCCATGCTATTTAGCATTAATGAGGGAACCTATTGATTTTCTTATGTTCAGTCCACGGGCTAAATGAGAAAAATCTAGTGGTGTATGGCTAGCATTAGGGTGAGTGATAATGTGCAAACATGGAAAATGGCATTAATTATTGCGCAAGGGGAAGATGGCATCAATCCACTGGTAAAAATTTAAGTCAGGGCTGGATACCCACCAGGGCCATTGGCAGGGTACCACTCACTACCTCCTGTGCACTTGCTGCTCCTCTGCCAGATTTGGATTAATATATATTCTATTTATTGTTGTGTATGCTATATGTATTGAATGAATTTGTTATATATCATTTTTTTCTGCAGATCATGATTTTGCAAAGAAACAACATTATGAATATTAACCCGAGCGCCAATGCACATCCACATTCCCACCAGCCTGCTTGGACCACTCCCTATTCCACATGTGAAGGTGAGGAGGACATTTTATCTACCCACTAAATGCAGAAGCGGCTTCTATGTAACAATGGGCATTCACCCACCTTCCCAAGCCATCCCACACTAAGACAGATATACTGTATATACAGTATCTACTGAAGTCTGGAGCTGACTAGGTTCCATACAAAGCTTTACCATTATTATTTTAGTGGGCTTATCCCACCAGCTGCACATGCTCATCTTCCCTTCACGCTGCACCATTCCATTGGCAGCAAAGCAAAGTTCCAACATTTCTGGGTATAAGGAGCTTGTTACGCACTCCTCTTCCTCCCATGTGATAGCGCTGGTTCTTTGTGATGCTCAGGCACCCTTTGCTGTCCCATGGGGATGGGGGGAGAGTCCTCAGTGGAGACTTGGGATGTATACATGGCTTCCTCTTGTTGCTCTGAAAGTAGCTATAGCTGATAGAGCCTTAAAATGAACCTGTTGATTTGCCATGCATGGAAAAGTAGCCCTATAACTAAAAGCCAAGTCAATCCTTGTATCCATATGCAGTCTACGTCTTATGGCTTGGCTCTACCTGGCCATGAGCTCTCTACCAATTGCAGGAGAATGGCATTAGTTCAGGCAAACTGAGCCATTCTTTTGCCTCCTTGAAGGATAGATTATTGATGAATCTGTATACTTGCATTGAACATGTAATTGTTCTGCTCTAACTTTTTATATCTACCAACAATGCATCAGCTGCTGTGCTAATAGGATCACAATTTAAAAAGCCTGAAACAAAATAAGCACAGCCCGAAATATATTTAAAACATAATAATAATCAACTTGCAGCAAACAATAGTTCATATAATGCAAAACATTAAAAAATCAAATACTGCCACTTTCAAACGAAAATGCTATCTGGCTACTATGGGAAAATAATAAGAGAAATATACTGATTGGATGCTGTAGGCAACACAGTCTATAGAAGCCTTTCTCAACCATGGTGCCTCCTGGCTTCCTCAAGGGTGCCTCAGTCAGAATTCCTGCACAGCTTTATGCATTTCCATGGTGCAGGTAGGCTTCTGATGTGACTGGATCTCCTTATGTGATACGAGGTGGCTCTAATGCAGGCGGGACTCCTGATATGAAAGAAGCGAGCTCTGATGTGATTGGGCTTTTCTAACGTGAGAGAGGGGGGACTCTAATGTGAAAGGAGCAGGCTCCTGATGTAAAGGGGGGTTTCTGATTTGAATCAAGCACTCTGATATGAAGGAGGGCTCCTGATTTGAATGGAGGACTCTGATGTGAAGGGGGGCTCCTGATTTCAAAGGGGGTGGGGGGGAGGGGGGCTCTGATGTGAAAGGGGAAACCCATTATATTTTGTGTTTTTGCTTGGGGTCCCCCCTTTATTTCATTACCAGGCCACTATCTGGGATAAGGGTCTAGTATGGGTTTTGAAAGGGCCACACATCTTTTTTTACATTCAGTCTGGGGTGCCTCAAGATTGTGCCTATTTTAAAGGGTGCCATGGCTGGAAAAAGGTTGAGAAATGCTGATCTATAGCATACTCTTTGTATGCTTGTAGTCTAAGGCAAGCATTTGTTGTAGAGAAGAACCAAATATCTGACTGCTTAGGAGCACAGAACACTTAGACTCTGGCAGTTGGATAGCATTTGCCTTTGTGTTTGCATAGGCTGGCTTCAGATCACTCTAAGGACAATTATCTCTTTTGTGAACACAGGTGGAGTACACTCAACATCATTTATTGGATAAGTGTACTTTTCCTTGTAACTGCAATACATTTCTGCCGCACCCTTCATGCAGAAAATTCGTTAAGAATTCTCTTTTGCCAATCGTATGGTCTAGTCCTCCCCCCTGCAAGAGAGCACAGACAGGTCTAGGACCCGCCTTAGCCTGCTAACTGGATAATGAAGAAGCAAAAGCATACTGATGATGTGTTAGACTGATAGCATTGTGCAAAGAAGAAGAACCCTGATTGGCTCAGATTGCCATCACCCCCCATCTGAATCCTCCTGGGAAACTGAAATAAAAATTGCAATTGGGTACACACACTGTCCATATGACCTGACAGGAAGTGAGGGGAAGTTTCCCCAACCCCAACAGATTGTCTAACCCTTCCCGGCTCTGTGTAAAGTGAAATAAAATGTTTTGGCTGGAGCCGAGCTTAAAATACTACTATTACAGAGTCTTTCACCGCCTGACATACTCAAATATTAAAAATTTGTGAATTTATATAATTAGTAGGTAAAAAAAAACGATGTACAATACCAGGAAGGATGTCAAAGCCTCTCCTGGCAGGAAGCAATTATGTAAATTAATTCTAATTTTCTTGTGGTGGTGGTGATACTCCTTTCTCAAACAAAACAGAATGTATACAGTTATAATTGGATTTAATAGCTTCTATAAAATCTCCACCTTTTGCCAACTCTTTTTGTGCTGTCGGAGCTGGTGACATTGTGTGTTGGCCATCTGCAGGTTTCTTCACGGCTCAGTGGCACGACGTTCACCCGCAGTATTGGAGCAAGTACCAGGTATGGGAGTGGTTGCAGCAGTTCGTGGACACCAACCAGCTGGACGCCAGCTGCATCCCGTTCCAGGAGTTTGACATCACAGGAGAACGGCTCTGCAGTATGACGTTACAGGACTTCACGCAAGCCACCGGGGAGGTCGGGCATATATTGTACAACAGCATCCAGAATCTCAAGTGGCATGGTGAGAATCTCAAGTGGCAGGTTTTTGTTTTTTTTGCACTTATCGAACAGATGTAACAAAACCTTTTCAATGGCATATTTAACAAAGCAAAAGGGATCAAATAGACATTCATTGTTGGGGTTCACATACACTTAAACTCAGTATTGTAAACATTGAAGAGACATTCACCCTTCCTAAAGCCCCCTTGACTTTTTTTTCTTAAAAACACAATATGCACACATTTTTTCCTCCAGTCTTCTGGCCAATCCTGTGACATTACGGGCGCCTCCTCTTTTTCCTTAGTAGTGGTGATTAGCGGCCCTACCTTCAGGACTGAGTAGCCCTCAGCTAAAATAGTGTGAGCACCCCTTAGCCCAGGAGTACTGTGAGCCCAGGCTGCTCGATGATGCACCGCTAGGGTATGTGTCCATAAAAGCCTGGGCCCACAGAAAGTTAGTTGGATGATGCTGGCCAGCATCGGACACTGAAATCAAGGGACGTTGGGCCCGGAGCAGTGAGCTTGCGGAGGAACAGCACCAGGGATAACATAAGAATTTTAGCAAAAGCTTCTTTTTTTTATTTTAAAGGCAGCATATTTTTTTTATAGGATCACTCAAACTACTCAGTCCAGAGGTTATATTTCTATCTGCTTCTCTATGGTGGTATTTTGGTATCTCAAAAGGTTCTCAACCAAAGATAGGGAACAATGGGTTGGTGATCTTGGACCCTAGATACGGAACAGTGGTTGACTGCCGTTGGACTCACTCAGAGGTTATCACAGCTTTACATGCTCTTGAGGACCTATTTGACCCCTGCTAAACTATTTAAGGCGTGCTTCCACTCCTATTTGCCATAGATGTGAAAGAGACCATGAGGATTTGTGGCAGCCGCATATGCTTTGGCGTTGGGTCTATCTTTTATGTTCCTGTTCCCCAAACCACTATAGTTTGTGTTCCCAGTGTTTTGGAGGACAACTGTATGGATCAGAATATACAAGTGGCTATCATCAGAGCTTTCTTTCAAGCTTGTAAGCCTCTACTAACCTGCTGGAAAGATCCTCCTCCTCCTCCTCCCACCACTAAGCAATGTATTAATCAAATAAATATATATACAGTATATGTCAATAAAATAGAATATATACTATATATAACATATACAATATATATTTTTTTTTATATCCAGATGTGTTTTTATATTGGTAGACTTTATATATGAGTAAGGGGTAGAAAAAAAAACTAAATATGATTTTTGACCAATGGTGGACATAGTGACCAAACAGCACCTGTGCAAGGACAGTGTTTGGGCCCACATTTAATTACTGCCAGGGAACAAACTGTGCTTCACTATGATTCAACTAGAGGGCTAGATAGATAAATAGACAGAGATGGAGAGTAGCCTTTGTAATACCCTAAACTTTCTCATGCATACCCTTTAAGAAAACTGCCAGGGGGTAGAGCTTTTGGTCAGAAGAGGCTTTGCATGTATCATCTGCCAAAAATGTTTTTGCTTTTGTCCTAGCAATTTGTTTTGTATACTTGTGATGCATGCACAGTGTAGTGTATACTCCCGGTATTTGTAAGATGCCATGAATGGAGCTAGGAGCAATGTAACTTTTGTGTGAGCATGCATAGGATTTACATCATTAGTAGCCTACCAATGTCTGAAAATATAAGATTCCAGGCTGGAGCAAAGATGTGGAGAAGATGGAAGCAGCAGCAAATAGATGGGGGTTGGCAGAGCCGTCAGTGGTAGAGGAAGGCAAACCCAGAGGTGAATCTTCCATAATGTGCAAGTATGCATACCCCATCAAAACAACACATGTACAATATTGCAGTGTGTTGGGAAAAAAATGGTCAGGTATGTTTTTTGGCATATGGACAATGAGTAACGACCCAAAGAAAATGATTGGGCATTAAGCTCTCCATCAGTGCTAAAAGAGGGAGATTTGAGGAGCAATGAGTAACTGCAGGAATAGTTTTAAAAGAGGGACATTCCCTCCAAATAAAGGACAGTTGGGAGCTCTGCATATTTATTTAGGGGAGGCACAACCTCCCAGAACAACTCATTTCAACACTTCCAAAATTCAAAGCCAACAAGTCATATAAATCTCGGCAGAAGCTACATTTCCTTATTGTCTGTGTTGCATACCATGGCAAAAGGCCTACACTCTATGCTTCCTCCTTGGCGTATAGATGGTCCACACTCCACAGTAAACATCAATGCATGCAAATCAGACAGTTGCTACACCAAACCATAAATCCTATCTTCAGGCTCTTTATTCCATTGTATAGAAATTGGGCAAAAACTGCCTCATTCTCTTATTTAGTTGTGCTACTGTAGAGCCGGTCTCTGTGCACCTGGGAATAATATATATACACTGTATGGGCAATTAGTGATTGATAAGAGTAGCATCCTCCAGGTTTTATTTAAAACAATATATTCCCTAGAACCTATAAACAAACAAAAAAAATGTTTCAGCAATTCCCATTTGCTCTCCTCCACTGCCCTTCCACAGACTCAGCACTGCAAGGACCAGCACTGCTACTCTTCAGCCCACTGAATGTAAACCCAGGCCATCATAGACCCATGCCCTGGTGGTGTGGCATTATGATTGGGGCACTGGCATCAGAAATAGCCTCAGTCAAAATGGCGCCCCCAATGCAGAACCGCTATAGGCCATGTGACATAACATGATCTGGTATGAGTCATAACAGGATCTGCTTATTGCACCTGACAGCTACATTTATGCAGGCTTTAATAACCCTAGCTACTCTGATCCAGCCCAAGGCATGCTTAATTGAGGAATGCATTGACCACACAAGCAACGGCCAATACCTGTAATATTGGTCTTACACAAACTAATTGCTTAAGATGAGGAAAACTTTGCATCATCATTTGTTGATACCAATCATGTACCTAAATGTGTCAACTTCCTTCTTACAGGTAATTATGGGAGCCAAGTGCTGCAGTCTCTCAATGTTGTCATCAAGACAGAACAACCAGGTATAAGAATTGTATATTTATAACAATTAGCACAATCTGTATTTTTTAATTTGTTCATTCATATAGTGCCAACATATTCTGCAGGACCTCCAGTAAGAGACAAAGCTATTCACCCTTTTCCCTGCCCAGGTAGAGCTTATTTCCCTATTACAGTCATACAGACTCACAGGGTGTTTTATTTTTTTTATTGTAAAAAGAAACCAGAACACTTAGAGGAAACCATCACAAACACAGGAAGAACAAACTCCACGTAGACCTGGCTGGAACCTGTCAGGATTTTTTGTCATTTACCTTCTTAAGGGGTAGATTTCTCTTCACTTCCTGTTATGTTTATTTAACAGGAAGTGAGAAAAAAAATCTCCCCAATGTGGGGGCAAATTCTCCCTTAGATAGCTGTCACCAGAACAAGTATACTCTCTATTCCTGTAACAACTCAAAATGTTGGATTTTCCGACACTTTCAGTGCCACGTTGAGAGGGCAAATGTATTACCCTCTCCACTTGGCACTTCTTATTATTTATTTATGTATTTATTTATGTATTTAAAGCACATGATTTATTGGCAGCAGTCAACAGCAGAGATACAATGTTATTTTTAAATCATACTAACTAGCTATACTTTTCTTGTAAATACTGAGTCTTTAACCTAAAATATATGTTGTCCATAGATCCCAGTCCAGTTACTTCCTGGAAGGACAGCGGGTACCTGTATGAAACCTGCTATGACGGTAAGTAAAGGGCAGCAAACGTTTGATCACATGATCTTATTAGTGTCTCTGTTATATAGAAGGTGAAGTAGAAGAAAGGCATTGGGTGATGGATCTCCTAGTAAATATTCTCAGTCAGGTCTTATACACACTGTAGGGAATTATTTTCATTAGTCAGCTCTCCCAGAAGGGGTGGGCGAAGGTTGGCTCTTTGCTCAAGTAGGGACTGGGTGTACAAGAAGAAAAGTGCCAAAAGTAGAACATATAAAGTCAAGATTTAATTATATTCAGACATAGTTACATAGTATTTGAGGTTGAATAAAGACATTAGTCCATCAAGTCCAACCTATTAGGATCTCATTCTAGGAGTACCTGTACCCCCGGATATTACGGTCCCTTAAGAAATCGTCCAAAAGTTTCTTGAACAATTCCACATTATTTGCTGAAATCACCGCCTGTGGCAGTGAGTTCCAGACCCTAACTGATCTTACTGTGAAGAACCCCCTTTGCCCCTTGTGCTGGAATTTTTTTCCCACCAATTTTAGGTGGTGGCCTCTAGTTTTTGTAATGGAGTTAATTCAAGACATTTATGTCTTAAACAAATCCAGCACGTTTTAGGATTTAAAGGGTCCCCTTTCATCAGGGCATAATACTGCTGAACAAAATGTATACTGGTCTGAATTGGAGAGATCCTGTGCGGTACTAATTATGATCCCTCCAGATGCTGGTTAAGCCCTAACCAGTGTATGCAGTGATCATCCTAATTACCATCCGGGATCCTTTCAATTTTATCAGTCCATTACACACTTTGTTCAACAGTACAAATCCCTGATGAAGGGGGCTCTATGAATCCCTAAGCGTGTTGGATTTTAATGCCATAAGATTCTGAATAAAACTGAACTTAATATGTTCTGCTTTAGGCACTTTTCTTTTTGCATATACAGGGTGAAGACACCTAATAGCTTCATATCACAAAGCTGAGAAATATGACTGGAACCTTACAGTATTATGGTTCTGGGAGGAGTAGGAAAGAAATTATGTTAAATTGAAGTATATAATTTGAGGGAATCTGACCAGCACTCTTGTTGTTCTACAGATGTATACGATAGTAAACTATACTGCCGGAACAGTCTATCGGTGACCCCTAATCAGTACACTACAGGTAAGTGTCTGTACCAGAGAACATCTAACAGTCCTTATATCAGGGCTGTATTTCGACATCCTGCTGCCTAGGCACACCTGAATGATAATACCCCTTTGTAAAGCTCCACCCCTTGTGTCATGTGATCATTTTATTAAAAAAACAAATGCTAGGATTTGAAGACCAACAAATAAGAGAATACGCATCTTGTTTCTTCTAACTCTTAACATTCCCCTTACCACCTCTCCCCTACAGTTCTCTTGCCGAGTTTAGCCACAGGAGGCTAGAATAGGAAGATCATTATCACAGGTTATATGTATTTTCTGACTTGGTTCTTCTTCCTTATACCTGGCCCATCAGTACCAAACATAGCCCTGCTTTTATTTCTCCAAAGCACAAATAGTTTCCCCCTAAATCACATGTTTAAAGGGCCAGAGTCTTTAGACTTGGACCTTCAGTAGCCTAGGGCACTATACATAACAGCACATGAATGAAGCATCTTAGAAAAGCATGGTTGGGCTCTCTTTGGTCTGCACCCAGAGTTCCAAAGGCGTTGGATTTTAACACAGTCTTAGAGTGGTGACACCTCTCTATATATCTCGTGGCCCCTTACTTGCTTATGACAGCCCATATGTGCAGAATTAGAGCTGAGCAACTAGGTACAAATGAAAGGGTTCCTATCATTTCCATCACTAAGTGCCAAAGTCCGTATCATGTTCAGCCCTTCCTCCTCGTCATGGATGTCCCATGATGGATGCTGAATGCTCAGCACCACCTCAAACATACAAGAGTCTAAAGTTGACATTGTGCAACAAACTTGACTCTGTGAGTGATACAAAGGGAGCAATTACAGCTATAACAGACTATCTGGGGAAAAAGGGACCCAAGGTGACTTAAATGCCACAGGTGATGCAGAGTTAGTGAGGTGCAGCTTTTAAACTTTGGACAGGCAACTCTCTACACTAAAAGTCTTCTAAAGCCCATTTAGGGTGGAATCAGGGCAAGAATGAAGAATAGGAGCACCACACCAGGAGATTGGTGTCCAAAAGTGTTTATTCCAATACAATAATTTGACGAGATATGTGGGTACAGGCAGCACATTTTGAGGGTCCATAAACACCCCTTTTATGAGGGCTGCAGAAGAGCCAGTAGGGGGACCCAAAAGGATTTTAAAATTGCATTATGGGGATTGACAGGCATGGTCATCAGCGGCTATAACCAGCAGTCTCTATAACACGTTGACTGTGCCACAGATCTTGTTTACATTATTCTATTGGAATAAATATTTTTGGACTCCAATCTTCTGGTGTGGAACTCCTATTTTCATTCTTGCCCTGATAACAGATTCTATGACTGCTATGGAGCCGAGGAGCACAGTGATTTATACAGGTAGTAATAATATTTGGTAAATACATCTGAACAAAATTAATGTATATGTGATTTGATAACCTCTAAACAATTAGTATTCTCTATTACCAGAAGAATTAATTTTGAGATGAAGATTAGAGAGACAAGATTCCCTTTTTGGCTTTCCTATAGGGCCTCATTACCCTTTGTTTAGACCTGGGTAACACCCTACAATTGCAGATGTACTGTTGACTGATGGCTTTTCTCTAATAATCTAGACCAGGGGTAGGCAAACTTCGGCTCTCCAGCTGCGGTGGAATTACAAATCCCATGCAGCATTGCAAGGCTCTGACAGCCACAGGCATGATTTCCATAGGCAGATGCATGGTGGAATTTCTGAGTTTCCCCACAGCTGAAGAGCTGACGTATGCCTATCCCTAATCTAGACCATATATTTCCCCCAGATCTTATACCTCATGCAACTTTTGTTGCTCCTTAGACCTAGATCCGTGTCCAGTCTGCACAGGCATTATGCCCATAAAGGCAACTTCAGGAAAATTACATCTCAATGAAGTACACAGTGGTCCACATATTTAAGACATATTGGAAGTAGTTTTTGCAACCTTCATGTGGAGAATTACCAGATTGTTTTTCAGGATCTGACCCCACTCGACAGGAAGGGCGAGCGTGCCTTATTGTGTGATACCTGAAATGACCCTTTGTATTCTGTACAAGACTTTCCACAGTCACTATTTCGCCATCCCTGGCACAGTCCAGCCCATCAGACAACAATGGTGTTTTCTCTATGTTTAGGTTCAGCATACGCAGAATCCGAGGTGAAGAAATCGCAGGACTATCCTCAGAGAACCAGCACAAAGAAACACAGTGAGTGATTGTTCACCTGCCAAAAAATGTACACTGGGGAGCTAATTAAGGGTACAAGCTGCACAGGCACAGAATGAGCCCTCAGAGTTAAGATGAGCTGAACCTTGGCGCTGACCCAATATCTGACCCAACTATTCACAACTCGAATATCAGTACCTGAGCTCTTACTGCAATCCTAAACTAGTCATCTATATAGTATGACTTGGGTTTTATTAGAAACTGGCTTATTGTGTCACAGTTTTGAGCAGGCATGGGCAAACTCAGGCACCAAGCCCAGACTCATCACTAGTTGTAGCGCTTATTCAAATCTAAAAATATTTTTTTTCTGGAATTTCACTTGAATCCTGTAATTGCCTGCTTGAAGAAACCTGTTTAAAGGACCAGTCCACCTAAAAGTGATATTTATGTCCTGGACGCTCTAACATGGGGAGATTTCCCTGCCATAATTCCCTGCTCTGTTCCTGTCCACCATGGGAGTTTTAGGTGTTCCTAACCGGCTCCCTGTGCTCCAACTCCTCCTGTTACATTCTCCATAATATCAATATATAAAATCCAGTAGAGATAGTGGGAGCCCCTCCCTAATGGGCACAGCAGGTGGGCAGACCCGGGAAGCCAGTCTAGAGCAGAGTTTCTAACCTTTTTTCACTCACATCACCCTTAAAAAAATTATGTATGTAAATATCCTTTGCATCAAAGTCCTCCTTTCAAATCAGGAGCCCCCTTCACATCAGAATCTTTACTTTCATACTAGAGTCCCCCTTTACATCAGTAGTCCCCCTTCACGTTAGAAGCTCCCTACTTTTACATTAGCATACCCCTTCTTTCACATCAGAACCCGCCCCCTCACATCAGGAGCCCCCCTTTACATCAGAAGCCCCACCCTCCTTTATATCAGAGCTCCCCTTTCGTATTGTAATCCCTTCTCTTACATCAGAGTTCCCCATTCACATCAGACTCCTACCATCAGAAAATTTTGAGGAAACCAGAAGGCACCTTGGTTGAGAAATTATTGTCTAGAGACCTCAACAATAGAGTTACCAAGAGATAAAAAAAACATTTGTGGTGTAAAGCTGGCTATTGGAAGATTTTAATACGAACCGTCAAAACAAAATCTCATTGGAACATTCAATACCGCCATCAGATGAATGTTGATCGAAATTTTGTTTCATTTTCACATTAAATTTTGGAAATAATTGGAGTTTCTGGCACAAAAACCACATTAACTTTTAGAATTTTAATCTAGAAAACTTTTCCATCCTGCTCCTTCGATTTTTTTTTTCATCACTATGGTCGAAATTGAATGCTGATTTGAACCCATTAACTATTAGAAATTCAAACCAACATTCTGAAAACCAAATTTTCAAAGGAAATTCTACTGTTGTACAGCCAGCTGTACACTCCAGTATTCACCAGAACCTGAAATATTAGATTTGGGTAGACTCACCATTAAAAGTGCTTTAAAGGAGAACTACGGGGTTAAGGCTTTTCCCCATAGTTCTCCTTAGGGTAACGGGAGGACACAAACTAGCGTCCTCCCGTCACCCTAAGCTCAGTATACCGCGAGCTACAGCTCGCGTTATACTGAGACTCGCAGCCGAGACGGATACTATCTGGATCCACCCAGCTGCGTGAATGACAGCCGGCTCTGCATACCTAGAGGCAGAGCCAGCTGTACCCGCCCCCTCCCCCGTCCGTTCCGCCAGTCAGCGCTGGCGGATCGGAGCAGGGAGGGGGGAATCCAGCCCCTCCCCTGTCACGGCAGAGAGCCGTGACAGGATCGAGAGGTGAGCGAACGCCGGTATGTGTTCGCTCACCTCCCGATCTACTGAGCCGACCTGTGACAGTCTCATTGTCACAGGTCGGCTAGAACTATGAGGTGAGTGAAAAGCAATCACCTCATAGTTCTCCTTTAAGTAGAAATGGCATCATACAAACTTGACACTGATGAACTTCTGAAAAGACTTCATTACTGTAAACTAGTTGAACCACTTACTGTATAATCTACTCTTATTATCTCACAATCTCCTGAAAGTATGTGATCCAAATATTGACTCACTGAGGGAAGTTGATTTCCACAGAAGACCTGTCATATTGTGTTAATGGCATACTTCTGTTTGCTGATTTCATGTAATGTGTGTTTTTGAATATGAAATGTTCTTAGTACAGCTGTATTTAGATAAAGTCCAGGTTGGGTAATATCACAAGTCGCCCTTCCCTAATAGGTGGTTGGACTGGGTATTTTGTCCTTTAGTCACTTGCTTCCCATGTATCTGTCGCTAATCTGGAGGCAGAGAGCAAGATGGTAGAAGCCGTCTATCTAGGTATATCATCAGTGCCAGCTCTGACAGTCTCATGTTTCACTGTGGGTGAGGGAAGTAATTGGGCCACACCGTTCAAACGTTTACAAAGAAAATCTTTCTTTTAAACAAATGTTTGCCAACCTTTATTTTTAATGATTGTACAGAGTTGAGAAGAACATTTATTAGCTGACACCCATCAAATAGACAAACCTGGCGGCCACAGACAAACAGAAAGGGTACCACACCAATGGTCAAAGAGTCAAGATTGTTTTTTATTAGGTTATCAGTGGAATAAGAGAGCCAGCACTTTTTGTGGTTCCAACACCCCCCTTTCATCAGGGCAGCTCAGTGGTTAGCACTTCTGCCTTGCAACATTGGTGGTCCCCAGTTCAATTCCCGATCAGGTCATCTTCTGCGAGAAGTTTGCATGTTCTCCCTGTGATTGTGTGTGTTTGCTTCGGTTACTCCAGTTTCTTCCCACACTCCAAATACATGCTGGAAGGTTAATTGGCTCCTGTCTAAATTCACCCTGTATGCATGTGAGATAGGAACCTTACATTATATATCCTTAAGGGCAGAGACTGATGTGAATGTGCAGTATGTAAAGCACTGTGTAAATTGTCAGCAATATATAATTACCTGTAATAAATTAGGGCTTTTGTAATTGTCGATTGGACTATGATAATAGTTGTATATATGAAATCAGATCCTACCACCAGTAGTTTGTGCACCAACGGCTTAGGTTGGCAAGGTGCATATACTCATGTTCTAGGAGGCAAAGTCATGACCCTATAAATATTCTGAGTCTCAGAAAATGTGGTCGCAGTGTTTAATCTACAGTAGCTGTACAGCATCCTGACCAAACTAAGGACTGACCACGCAGGAGAGGTTTTAGGCCTCATTCACAGAGCTAAGAGTCGGCCCATACAGATCCGTAAGGCTGTATCGGGCCGCTCCCTGGAAGGACAGTTGTTGCGTGTGATTGTACGCAGCAGCCTGTTCTTCCCTATGGGAGGACGCGGCCGTACGCTCACCCGAGCTGCACATCCATGCGGGTGTGGGGGTCCGTGCTTAGACGTAGACAGGATCCATCCTGTCTGTGTATGGGCCGACTCTTAGCTATGTGAATGAGGCCTTACAGTTAGGCTGTAGCCATTACAACCTTTTAAAATACCTTTATCTAAACCTGTGTTGTAAACATATGCTTAAAGTGTATTTCCATTTTTGCAGCCAAGTTGGGATGAGACCTACTTTATATTTGTTACATGTTCCCATTTACATAGCATAACGTAAAAAAAAAAAATCAAAGTTGCAGCTTACATTTTTTATATGCTCTTTCTGCTAATTTCAGGACTGAAAAAATCCTGCTTAGTTCTCACTGTCTGGGGGAATGGGGAGGGGTTTTTCCCAAATAAATAACCAAGCCTATATTGTGCCGGCTGGTTTCATTATCACTTGTTAAATTTTGGCTGCAAAAGTGGAAATACACTTTAAGAACTGCACCTGGAAGTCAAGCATATAGGCACCACATCAGTGAGCTTGGCTTAGTGAATGTCTTATCTCTCTGCCAATGTGCTTCCCTCTTCAGACCCTCGTGGGACACATCTTTGGGAGTTCATTCGAGACATTCTGCTCACACCAGAGAAGAACCCGGGACTTATACGGTGGGAAGATCGGTCGGAAGGAGTATTTCGGTTCCTTAAATCCGAGGCAGTAGCACAGCTCTGGGGGAAGAAGAAGAACAACAGCAGTATGACATATGAGAAGCTCAGCCGTGCCATGAGGTGAGAGGAAGTGATTGTAATAACCTCAGTGCGTGTTTCAGGTTGTCGTTACATCTTGATGTCGTCCTTTGATGGCTCCTCTCATTCCTGCCTGTTGGAAATAGTAGCCAAGATTTTTTTTCTATCTTTGGATAGATTGGGTGAAGATTAGAATCCTTGTCTGGTTCACTGCTATGTGGGTGATGTTTCCTGTAAAAAAAAAAATCCGATTTTGGATCTCCCTTCACTGTCTTGTTGACAATGGGGCTTTGGGGTGGTGTTTTGGCAAGATCAGAAACAAAAAAGTGCTGTTTTTATGTTAGTGCCAGACTGCATTATATTTTGACCTTGCCCATAGTTACGCTTTAAGCTGCCCGCTATAACATTCATTCATATTCCTTTACCAGATACTACTACAAAAGGGAGATCCTAGAACGTGTGGATGGAAGACGTCTGGTCTACAAGTTTGGGAAGAACGCTCGTGGCTGGAGGGAAAATGACAGTTGAATTGCCTCCATGCAAAACTGGAACTAATTTATTTATATGGTGAACTAAGAAGACTTTAGAGGGAATGCAGAAGACGTAATGCCAATGGAGCCATTTCTCTCTTACTTGGGGAATAGAATGTGTACACAGTTTTTCTGTGACTTGGGGCCTTCTTACCAAATACAGCTGCATCATTCTAGCAGCCTGCAGACTTTGGATTGGAAATACGAAAATGCAATCATTTGTAATGGGAACAGGAACTTTGTTTAGGGAGCGTCTCCACCTACAAGAGCTTTCTTTGTATTGATGGAGTGAGGCAGAGGTTGATACCAAGCCAGGTCACTGCTGTCGGAATTTCAAGTGTGGAGAGCTCCTTGCACATAAGAGCTTAGGGAACCTAAGATAGCAGTAAGAGGACCCCATTTGCTGGTTTGGCAGGTGCAGAATCCTGTGTAATAATTTTCTAAGCTACTACATAGTAATTCTCTGGTCCAATACGTGTATGCAGTCCAATGAAAGGGAGTTTTCCAAGTCCCAAATGCATTCTGGTTCTATGCTATAAGGACTAAGGTTTGTGCACACCTGATCATCTCAAATACTGAGTAACCAAAAGTACTCCAAATTATTTAGTTCACATGTTTCCAGTGAATGATACTGTTAATGCTGCAGCATACAAATACATTTCAGACAGCTGTGAACTCCCAACCTTGTGGCAACAGTTTGGGGAAGGCCTTTTTTTTGTCCCAGAATGACTGTATCCCTGCGTAGAAAGCCATCTTCATGAAATAATGGTTTGACCAGTCTGGTGTGGAAGAAATTAAATGGCCTGCCCAGAGCCCTGACCTCAAACCTACTGAACGCCTTTAGGATGAACCGAAACATCAATTGCCAGTCAGGTCTTCTCGTCCAGCATCAGTACCTGACCTCACAAATGCTCTATTGGCTGAATGGCAACAAATTCCAACGGAAACACTCTGAATTCTTGTGGAAGGCATTCCCAGAAGAGCGGAAGGTGCAGCAGCAGCACTGGGGGAAGAGGCGGTGTCTAGTGTTGGACATCCCATTCCCATGGTTTTGGAATGGGATGCCCATTAAGCTGATAGAGGCATGATGGTCAGGTGTCCACAAAAGTTTGTCTATATGTGAGCAATTCCAAATCTTCCCTGTACAGGTCATGTTATATCCATAGGAATAAAAAGAGCACTCTGGTGTCAACAGAAGTTTGGCTGAAAAACTTAGCTCTGTCTATCACAGCCATACTAGGGTGGATGAGACCTTCTCAGTAGGCTCTCAGACTGCAGCAAAGACCTGATGAGGGACTTAACTCCATGTAATATTCCATTATGGTTGGTGTTGCTCTTTAATACATAACATGTACCAAATGAAGGAAACTGTTTTATGCACTTGACTATTATTTCGCAAGGAGCTACTAAAAGCACCACTACACTGTCTTAATTCTAGCAGGCCATTTATGGACTTTGAAAAGGACTGGGAGTGGTAAAGTGGCCTTGGTTTTGTCTAAATACGGCAGCTGTGGGGAAGAGTTTGGAAAGGCTTGGGTCACTCTTATGTAAAGCTAATTTTGGTTAAAGAAGGGTAGGGTTAAAAAGTCCTGTTGTGTCCCTTTAGGGAGATTTCCCTTCCATGGACACAGCAAGAAGTAAGATAAAATCTTTCCCTTTGGAAGTTTCCCCTCTATTCTTGCTCCAGTGACAACTCAAAATTATGGATTTTACCTTACTTTCAGTCCAGATGACACTGAGCGCTAAAGGAAAAAGGTTTTGGCTTCAGATACACTTTAAATATTCATATTTTAATTTATAAAATGGTGGTATGGTGACCCTTGGGGGCTATAAGTGTCTTAAAAGAAGAGTTATAAGCAGCATGTGTTGCCTCTAACACCGATCTTCATTCCCTTCTACCACTTCAGTACAATGAGAATATCGGGAGCATCTGACTGGTGGTCACAGGAAACCCAGGACTGTCTTGAATTATGGCCAGTAGTCACAATGGCATAATCCTGCTTTGATGGGCCTGAACACAGCTAATCACTTTACATATTTATTATGAGTTTTGTGCCTGAAGTTCTAATTGAATTCTCGAACATGACATAATTTTTACCTCAGTGTATAAACACTATTCTCATATATCCTTCAACATACCGCACATTGCAGGCAGCTATGTCGCCAAATGACAACATTTTAAAAAAGGTTGGTGTGCTCAAAACTGATATTTTTTGCCTTAGAGTGTGAACATTTTTGATTGTCTTTCAGGCATTTGTTGCTGTGTCCCAGTTTCAATTTCCCCTCACTTCCTGTGCTGGTGACCACCAGGACCAAGGCTGTCCCTTTAATTAGGTGGTTGAGCTATTAGCAACCTATTATGTTCTGTGTGGCATCCCGCCCAGCTCACTGACGTCACTTGTTGCCTAGAGCTGAGTTGGATGCTCTGAATTATGTCCCGCTGAGCTCTTGCCAATCAGTGATGTCAGTGAGCTGGGCGAGACACCAGGCAGAGCCTACTCCCCCCTCTCCTTGGGACGACGGGTGAACAAGTGAGTAACCATCTCTGTCAGCACCCCCAACGGCGATTACCATAGGGATGGGCCTGACCTAGAGTTGGTTATGAACAGGACTTCCTGTTTCAATGTCTCTGGAGTGTATTCCTCATGTATTCCTTTGGACAGCGCACTAGGGGCCCGCTTCCGTGTCTCGCTATTAGTTTGTCTACAGCAGAGGTAGCCAAACCTCGGCCCTCCATCTGTTGTGAAACTACAAATCCCTTGAAGCATTGCAAGACTCTTACAGCCACAAGCTTGGCTTCCAGAGGAAATCACAATGATATTTGCAGTTCCACCACAGCCGGAGGGTTGACGTTTGCCTACCCCTGGTCTACGGGAATATCTGGAGATTGGACTCCATATTATGGACACAGGATGTTCAGCGCGCAGAAATGACCTGGGTGTGACTAGGACAGGAAGTGATGGAAAATCACCTCAATGGGTATACAGAAAGCAAAGCAATAAAAGCCTGACAAAGAATCTAAGTCTTCTCCAAAAATTTCCAAAAAGTCCTGGTGCAGTAATATAACCACCAAGTCCCTAAGAGCTTAAGGGATCAGTTGATGAGTCAACCTTTCAATGTCTACTCTTTCGAACCCTTTAAAACGCACAAATACTTAAGAAACATCTTCTTGATACTGTAATTCTCAACAAGTAAAATGCAAGAATATGAAGCTAAAAGCCTTGAAGGACTGGTGCTGTGGTCAACTAAACCTGTGTTTTCCTCCAGCAGCCGGTCACAAGGCATTGAGTCCTCCTCCTTTCTCGTTATGTTTCTCCAGCCTCTGGTGGAGTCATAGGCTATGTCTGCTGAGAGACCCACCTTCACCTTCTTCTCACAAACTTTTCATTTGCAGCTAGCAGGAAATACAGAAACTAGATTCCGGTCTGTGAGCCGTCACAGACCTTCTACCAAAACCACTGAACCCCCGATGTGTCGTTCAGCTCTTATTTTTATTGATGTCTGTTACAATGGCATTTCTTTCATATTGATTGAAAGCGGCAAGGCGTGTGCTGGGATTTCTCTAGAACTTGAATCTGAGGAAACAAAAGTGAAAGTAAGCAAAAAGAAAAGCTATAATTTGGTAAAAAAAGAAAAAAACTTTTCAGACACTTTGTTGGGTGAATTTTTATATTGTACTTTTTGGGGTTTTTTCTTTTGTTTAGGAGGAGGGATTTTTTTAAGCTACTATTTCATTTGAATGGATAGTTCTCTTGAAAACAATGTGAAATGTCTTGTATGATTATTGATCGTCTATTAAGTTGTGATAATATGTTATTTCGTAGTTCGGTAGTTGGTGAACATCACTGTACCCTCATGTTCAGTGCAGCTTTTATGTATGTTTTATGTCTATACATTTTTTATTGTGTATGGACCTTACACATCTCCCAACCTGGAACGCTCTGGCTGAGGAGCGGGTGGCAGGTACACTGCAAACTTTGTGCAGCATGCTGCTTTACCTGCCGTTCCCTGACGTGACCCAAAGAGATGCCACCTGAGGCAACAGCCTCAGACTGCCTCATTAAAAGGACGGCCCTGATTATCACTACCAGACATGTGCATTCGGATTCGGACAAACCTGCAAATCAACGGAATTCAGTTGCTTCAGCAGTTCGTCCGAATCCGAAATAACAAATTTATTATATGCCCGAATATATTAAAACTATATTTGGGCGTACATAAATTCATTTGCAGAGCATACAGGCGCAAGCTCAGAACGTGCCGGCGGCCGACATGGCCACCGCTCGTTCTGTATTTTCAGTGTGACATCACACGCTGAACAAACGGTGGCCATATCGCCTGCTGGCGCATTCTGCGCAGGCGTGCTGCCATCTTTGAGTATATCTTGGTGTGTACAAAGATACACTCAAAGATGGCGGCGCGCAAGTGCATAACGAGCAGGCGGCCGTTCTGCATTTTCATTGTGCCATCACACGCTGAACAAGGGGTGACCATATCGGCCACAGGTGCACCGCCATCTTTGGGTATATCTTGATGTACACCAACATACGGACGCTGCCATCTTGGTGTATACCAAGATACACTCAAAGATGGCGGCGTGCAAGCGCAGAACGCGCCATCGGCCGACGTGGCCACCGATCGTTCTGCATTTTCAGGGTGCGGTTTCAGGTTCGGAGGCTCGTTGCCTGCGAATCAGAAACAGCAGAAAAATCCATTTTCTTTGATGAAACGAATGGAAATGTTTTTTCGTTTTCATTTGTTTAGTCGGAAAACACATTTTTTTGCCGTGCACATGTCTAACCGCTACAACAAAGGCGCGGTGGCGCTGTTATGTGCATTGCAGTAACATGTGCTTTACCATGACATAGTGTCCCTCTCTTCCTGTCCTGCTGACAACATTTTACTAGACAGGAAGTGAAAGAGAACCTGCAACAGGGATACAAACAAAAATAAAATCAGACTTCCCCTATTCTACTAGAATGAAGAAAAGGAAAAGCAGGAAAAGCGTTTTTATTTCTGTTGGAGTACTTTTCACTTCCTGTCTGGTAAAACGTTGTTGCCATGAAAGGAAGTGAGGGTAAATCTCTCTAACAGACCCCAGACATCAGCAAACCCCAGCAAGGGGTTCTGGTCTT